AAATCGACACTTCGGACTGTATAACAAATTTGAACTCTCCAGTTTAGCAGAAACTATCAATATAGTCATATTACGAAACAAAGAACAAGAACCTACACATCTTAGCTGCGTAATATGTGCCACTTGATCTTAGTAATAAAAAAAAGCATATCGAAGTAGTTGCTTCATTTCACCACATATCCACTTCTTTAGCCAACAACTACACTACATTTTGTCAGAGTACGCATAGAGAACAAAACAAAATAACAAAACCATGTACTTCTGTAACAAATATACATTTCAAGCCGAATTAGATCACACATTAGCAAGTCCATATTGAAACTCAAAGAGGGGTGCATTCAAATAATAGATGCAATATCGTGTATCCATACTCCTCTACTCATATTCAAATTGAAAGAGAAAAATAAAGAGTTTTGATTGTCGGAAAAGTAAAAACTAGTTTGAAACAAGAACATTTGAAATAGTTGATCCATTACAGCCATATCCACTTCTTTAGTCAACACCTGTAACGTTTTGTAAGACATGCACAGAAAACCAATTAAGGGTGTGTTTGAATCTAATTTTGAGGGGAATAGAAATTTTAGAATAGTGATTGATGGGATAATGTGTGATGAAAAAGTGATTAAAAGTTTTAGATTTATATGTAATATTATTTTATTTGAAGAATGTGTGGTTAAAATGAAGAAGAGAATTGGTGCCAAACATGAGCTTAGGGCGCGTTTAGTTTGCTGCTTTCAATTTTCAGTTTTGCAATACACCTAAAACTTATTCGATATAGAATCTCTGAAAATCCATCTTCGAAATCAAGATTATGCTTATAACATAAAATCGAAAACACATTTTTGACTATTTTTAGTAAAAACTTGGAAAACATTCAAAACATGGATAACAAGCTTTCAAATAGATTTTTATTTAAATAAAATTCTAACAATTGAAATTTTCAAAAAATAAAAAAATGAAATTTTAAAATAAAAAATATATATATATTTGAATAAGTAAAATTTAAAATTTAAAAAAATTAAAATTCTGAAGAAATTAAATTATAAAAAGTTCATGAAAAATAAAAACAATTTAATATCTTAATGATTATTTACATAAAAATTAAATGAACACAAGCAAAAAAAATTATCGGCTCACTTTATTAAATTTTTTTATTTCCTACGGTTTTCCAACCCAATTTATTTTTTTATTTTTATAGGGAGATTTTTTTGTAAGATTCACCAACTTTAAAATGTATATATTAATTGATAATATATTAACATAAAATTGTTATATTGTACTTAATAATCAAATTTCGTGAAATAAAGTCCATGTTTTTTTTTATCATTATTTAAATATTTTTTTCTCAAACTCTATTTTAGTCACGTTACCACAATAAAATATTTTGCACACAAATTCAAATCTTTCTCTTAATTTTTAGTTATACATTGTCAAAAAACTCAATATTCCAAAACACATTTTTATTAATTTTTCAAAATTTCAGACCTAACGCGTTTTCTAGGTTTTTGTTTTGAGAAACAATTTTTCAAAATTACAAACCAAACATTCCTTTAAAATCTTAAAACAAACCATCAAAATTAAAAATTAAAATAAATTCAAAACTCATAAATGAAACACAAACCAAACGGACCCTTAAATTTTGATAAAGGTGATTAGAACATAATATCCCCACATTTCACTATTATATTGTAAAAAAGTCATTACCTTTCTTTTTTTTGTATTTTTACTTTTATTTCTACATTTCATTGCGCAAAATATCATTTTCATCAATTTTCTCAATTAAAAATTGTGAAATGACGAATGCCCTTATATTCAAATAAAAGAAAAAGAAAGGAAAAAATTAATTACAACTATAGTCCCTTTTTTTAAAAAACGCAAATGAGTCCCAAATAAATTATTAAAATAGTAATTAATATATAATGTTCCTGCCATTCACTATTATTGAGAAAAAATCCATATCTTTCATATTTTTTGACATTTCCACTCTTAACTACACATTTGATTGCGTAAACCATCATTTCTATTCTTTTTCATCTAATTTCTCAATAAAGAGTTATGAAATGATGAATATACCATCCTATTTAAATAATAAAAATAAAATTAAAGAAATTGTTTTTTTTATTTCTAGTTTTTTAATGAGACTCATTTGAACTTTTAAATTTTAAAAAAAATAATCTTTTAATAAATTTAATTTGGACTCGTTTGCACTTTTTTTTAAAAAATAATTTTTAATTTTTAATAATTTATTTGAGACTCGTTTGCATTTTTTTTTTAAAATAATTTATAATTTTTTAATAATTTATTTGGAACTCATTTGCACTTTTTAAAAAAATTGGGACTATGGTCGTAATAATTTTTTTAGTTTTTTTTTTATTTAAGTAAGATGACATATTCATCATTTCACAAATTTTAATTGAAAAAAATGATGAAAATAACCTTTTGTACAATGAAATGTGGAAATAAGAGTGAAAATGTCAAAAAAAATGAAAGGTAAAGACTTTTTCCACAATAATGTCGAAATATGGACGCATTATGTGCTAATTACCCATTTAATAAAATTGTCGTGTGAAATAAAAATAAAATAATAGCAATTGAATAGCATATAAACTAAATGGTCATTTGAATGAAAAGTTTTAGAACCATTTGATCTTGTTTCAAAGTAAAGTAGCGTTCTAAAAAACGTAAATAGTGATGAAGTGTGGAAGCCAAGCTTCGGCATAGGCGTAAAAAAAATATTTTCTTATTTTAATATTATTTTAAATCAATCTTAAAATTATTTTATAATTAAATAAAAAAGTAAAAAAGGATAAAAAATGTAAAATCGTAAAAAAGTGCGCCTAGAAGCCACTAGATACGAAAAAATTAGTAAATAAATAAGGCGCGAGGAGGGGCGTTCTGTACCCGCTTCGTGCCTAAGCACTGCTTTTTAGAAAACTAATTCTTATATACAATCTACGTGCATACTCAAAAGGTTTTTTTTTTTTTTTTTTTNACTCTATTTTAGTCACGTTACCACAATAAAATATTTTGCACACAAATTCAAATCTTTCTCTTAATTTTTAGTTATACATTGTCAAAAAACTCAATATTCCAAAACACATTTTTATTAATTTTTCAAAATTTCAGACCTAACGCGTTTTCTAGGTTTTTGTTTTGAGAAACAATTTTTCAAAATTACAAACCAAACATTCCTTTAAAATCTTAAAACAAACCATCAAAATAAAAAATTAAAATAAATTCAAAACTCATAAATGAAACACAAACCAAACGGACCCTTAAATTTTGATAAAGGTAATTAGAACATAATATCCCCACATTTCACTATTATATTGTAAAAAAGTCATTACCTTTCATTTTTTGGTATTTTTACTTTTATTTCTACATTTCATTGCGCAAAATATCATTTTCATCAATTTTCTCAATTAAAAATTGTGAAATGACGAATGCCCTTATATTCAAATAAAAGAAAAAGAAAGGAAAAAATTAATTACAACTATAGTCCCTTTTTTTAAAAAACGCAAATGAGTCCCAAATAAATTATTAAAATAGTAATTAATATATAATGTTCCTGCCATTCACTATTATTGAGAAAAAATCCATATCTTTCATATTTTTTGACATTTCCACTCTTAACTACACATTTGATTGCGTAAACCATCATTTCTATTCTTTTTCATCTAATTTCTCAATAAAGAGTTATGAAATGATGAATATACCATCCTATTTAAATAATAAAAATAAAATTAAAGAAATTGTTTTTTTTTATTTCTAGTTTTTTAATGAGACTCGTTTGAACTTTTTAATTTAAAAAAAATAATCTTTTAATAAATTTAATTTGGACTCGTTTGCACTTTTTTTAAAAAAAATAATTTTTAATTTTTAATAATTTATTTGAGACTCGTTTGCATTTTTAAAAAAAAATAATTTATAATTTTTTAATAATTTATTTGAAACTCATTTGCACTTTTTAAAAAAATTGGGACTATGGTCGTAATTATTATTTTAGTTTTTTTTATTTAAGTAAGATGACATATTCATCATTTTACAAATTTTAATTGAAAAAAATGATGAAAATAACCTTTTGCACAATGAAATATGGAAATAAGAGTGAAAATGTCAAAAAAAAATGAAAGGTAAAGACTTTTTCCACAATAATGTCGAAATGTGGACGCATTATGTGCTAATTACCCATTTAATAAAATTGTCGTGTGAAATAAAAATAAAATAATAGCAATTGAATAGCATATAAACTAAATGGTCATTTGAATGAAAAGTTTTAGAACCATTTGATCTTGTTTCAAAGTAAAGTAGCGTTCTAAAAAACGTAAATAGTGATGAAGTGTGGAAGCCAAGCTTCGGCATAGGCGTAAAAAAAATATTTTCTTATTTTAATATTATTTTAAATCAATCTTAAAATTATTTTATAATTAAATAAAAAAGTAAAAAAGGATAAAAAATGTAAAATCGTAAAAAAGTGCGCCTAGAAGCCACTAGATACGAAAAAATTAGTAAATAAATAAGGCGCGAGGAGGGGCGTTCTGTACCCGCTTCGTGCCTAAGCACTGCTTTTTAGAAAACTAATTCTTATATACAATCTACGTGCATACTCAAAAGGTTTTTTTTTTTTTTTTTTTTAAGTTAAGCTAGTTGTTGGAAAACTCTTTGTCGTTGATTTCAAAAACAATTTTTCAAATGAATTGATATAATGTCCGGTCAACTCCCATATTGCCAACCAAATTCTAACGAGTAGCATGATTTTCAAGGTTTTTTAGGGGGATTAATTATACTATAAATTAAACAATCATGTTATATGTACATTATTTTTCACGTCATAATTGATACTCTAACAAGTGGCTTAATCTACGCAAATGATTTTGAATTTGAAAATTCCATCACTGCACTACCCCTCCACATGGGAGGATGTCACCTTGGATGTACACTCCACAATTAAACAAGTGACTTGTCATAATGCTGATCCACTTTTCATCCTAATCCATATAATCTGACTGGAAATTTTGAAGTTTTCTAAAATTTTAAATAATCGGTGGGCCTCTAAACAATTATTATGTTTTGGTGGGTCTTTCATTTGATTACATACGAATGGCCAAATATTTGATGAAAATGATTTGAGTTTTTATTTTTTTCAAGATTAACAAATTATTAAAATAAGTAATCAAGCACCAAATTAAGACATAAGTGCCATTGGTGGTCAAATTTCCTCATTAATTGTGTCAATTGACATGTATGACTGTCCAATCCATACACTAGGCATATTACAGCCAAAATTCAGCCCATTAAATATGATGGTGCGGGCCCAAGTTAACATACTAATGAGTAATGACGATTCAGGATGTCAATATGTTTGTTACGTATGATGTGTTTGATGGATATTTTTCGAGAAAAAAATATATTTTAAATAGTGATATGAAGTGAAATATGTGGTTGAAAAGGAAGAAAAAGTTATTAATGTGATGTAAAATATTATTTTATTGAAAAATGTGTAGTTGGAAATGAGTTTTGAAATAATAAAAATATGTAGTTAAAAAATAAGGAAAAGTTATAGACGTGATGAAAAATATTATTTTATTGAAGATTATGTGGTGGGAAATGAGTTTTGAAATAATATATTTTTAAAGAATATGTATCAAACAATGGCGTAATAATGAATAATATTAATCAATTTTTCTTCAATAGAATACACTACCGAACGAACTCATTTACACTAATACTTTTTGCTATAGATACAAGAAAATTATTCCTCAAAATAAACAGAAAGTAAATAGAAAAATGGCTGACAACTGAATTAGTTGAGTGAGATCTGAAAGTTTACGGAGCGAAGCAGCTGATTTTGTACTTGATCCGATTATATCCTCATCAACGGTAGAAATATGTTGCAATGGTACTGTAGAGGCAGATTTTTGGCTGTCACAGTGGCCAATTCCTGCATCAAACAGTGTATCTATATCATCTCCAAGCCCACTTTTTGCATCATAACAGAGTCCTAAATTGTCGTTTAGCCTCAATTTCCTTCTCATTCTCCAAAAAATTTCTCGACTGAACGGGATGGATCCGAATAATCGGTTATTGTTCAGCCTTAGTTCGCTAAGACTGTTTAATTTCGAAAAACTCGAAGGGATAGAGCCATTTAAATGGTTTCGATCAAGATGTAGGACACGTAACTTCGGTAATCGACCTAATGACTCTGGAATTTGACCTTGTAGATTCATGTTTGATAACTCTAAGATTATTAGATTGTTCAAGCTTTCGAATGCATTATTTGGGATTGTTGCAGACACCGAGGGGTTATCTTTAAGAATCAAAGCTTGGAGAAAATTTAAATTCTTTAAAGAACTTGAAAATGGACCGGTAAAGCTATTGTAGCTTAAATCTACGAGAATAAGTTCTTTGAGGCCGTTGATATCGGGCAAAGGACCGGAGAGACGATTATGGCTTAAATCTATTTTTAAGAGAGAATTGCAGCTTAAAAGGGTGTTCGGCATTGAACCTGACAGATGATTTTGGTTGAGGTCCAACACGCTTAATGCAGGAAAGGTGAGATTGGGAATTGAACCGGATAGTTGATTACCACTCAAAACTAACGATTTTAGACCGGAAATCCGGCCCAATGAAACCGGAATCGACCCGTTCAAATTGTTTTTATGAAGATCCAGTACCTTTAAACGGGTCAAGTTTCCGAGTTCGTATGGGATGGGTCCTATATGCCCATTTTCCCTCAGAACCAAGGTCTGCAAATCGGATCCTAACCGACCCAGAAAAGACGGAATGGGTTGTGGGTTGTAACTGAAACAGCGGTAGAAAAACAGGGTACGAAGGTGTGGAAGTTTGGTAATGGAAGGTGAAATGGATGACCGGGTCGGGTCACAAGTCGGAAATGCAGTATCATCCGACAAGGCTCCGAATGAGAGAGAAATAACATGGTAGACATTGTCTCTGTCCGGCATGCATTCAATGCCATGCCACCGGCCGCGGCAGACGTCTGGGATATCAGTGGCCCAGCTATTTCCAGTGGCTCGCATAATATCATAGACTGCTTCTTGCTCCTGCGGGTCGGTTTTTGCTCCATTTTTGGCCATGGATGAACCGGGTTGAGGACCTTCAAGTTGGGCTGAATCCGGGATGATTACTGTGAAAGACATGCCCAAATGAGCTTGGATGAGAATTAGTAGAATTGTAGTGTGCAAAGAGAGAGACATTTTCATTTGAATAAGCAATTAATAGATTGGATATTTAGTTGTATCTTGTATGAATGCTATATATGTAGTTGTAGCTTTGGACATTAATGACATGCAATATGTTGGTGAATGTGGTGGGGAGCTATGGTATTTATGGAATTCACGAGAATTGAGAGTCGGAATAAATACACCAGTTTGAGAATTTATGTTCCTCACGGGGTTTACCTTCTGTCTTTGTTAGGGACGGAGTCGAGCGATAGAAAAAAATTCAATTCCCACTCTATACTATTAATATAGATATGCATTAAATAAAATAAAATCAATTACATTCTCTTAATGTAGTTTCAATACTAGATAATGTTATTTAATCCCTTTGATATTAAAGAATATTGGTTAGAGAATTACCAATGTATTTGACAAATAAAGGTTCTCGAATTAAATAAAAGTTCATACTGTCATTGTTTTCCTAGTATGCAATAGCTCACTGATCGAGCGCTCTTGCACCGAAGATGAAAGGGGCTAATTGATCTAGCTATGTCAACGTGTCGAGCCGAGCAAAACTCTGCCAAAAAAATAAGGCTCGACCCGAGTTTTCTGTCCAAGCTTGAGTTTAAGAGAATTCGAGTTTTTTTTTTTTTTTATGTCAAATCTACATTTTTACTTAAAAAATTTAAAATTTGTACGGTTTATACGTACTATAAATTAAATAAAAAAGTTCGGGTTCGGCTCGAACTTTTTTGAACCGAGCTTTTTTGGGCTCGAACCAAGCCGAGTAAAGCCCTACCAAAAAATGAGGCTCGGCCGGGCCCAGCTCGAGCTTTTTTTGAGCCGAGCCGACGAACTTTTTTGCCATCCCTAAACTAATCCTTCGAAACTATGGGATGTAAGCGTTGTTTGGTACCCATTTTTTGCCATTTTTAAAAGATTTCTTATCGTTGAAACAGTAAGTGGGTCATATGCAGCAATCCTCCGTTGACTCAATAGAATGCAAATTCTCTTAATGTCACTCTCAAATACGATGACATAAATGCGAAAAGGGTAGAAATGTAATTTTGCCTTGGTTCGGTCATTAAATGCACATGCAACTTCCATTACGGTCATAAATTGTCTAAAAATAGGCTGAAAATGGCTATGAGACATAGGCTAAAAATACATCGGTAGGGGAGCATTTCACAGTTATCCCTTCCATCAATCGCTCCTTCTAGATTATGGGCATTTGGGTCTTGAATGGAATACACGGCATTGCTACAATCCGACTCCACATTTGAGAATTCAAGGCTTCGGTCCGAAGAAAATTTCATCCCTTCCCATATTACTACACAACTTGCCCATCATTGGATAAATACCCACCTTAATAAAATTTTCAATTGTAGCCACCATCTCATCTTTGTCATTTTTGTAGGAATAAAACAATAATGATATTTACCATCATAAGATTGTTCATGTTGGATCATCAAGAACTAATTAACCAAAAGCGAAAGCGTACCTGGATCAGACATGATTTCGCAATGAATAAGTCCTGCGATTTTAGTCTTCCAGATCAACACGTTGTTCCTTAGTTTCTCTCTGAAGATGAGAATCAAAATAGAATGAACAGAACGTGTGATCCGGGGACCATAACCGTATATTTATACTGATTTCCCATTGACCTAATCCGGCCCATCATGGAATTAGAAATATGCCTAGTCTCTACACATATGAGCCCATACTTTAATTAGATGTTTCAAAACCCAAAATATCAAAACCTTATTAGATCACTTTAAATGTGCTTAACCGAAATTGATAGCCTTTAATTTAATATACAACATTTCACATATAAGCCCACATGTTTGATTAAAAATCCTTACAATTTCTGCATAGGCATGATTGGAAGAAAAGAATGCAGACGGAAATCCATGGGGAGGTAAAAATTGTGTGATAGCTCGGTCATCTCCGGCCTGCAAACGAAGCCCATATCGCAAAAGCTTAAGTCGCCATAATAAAAACTTCTTACTTGAATTTTGATTAGAACAAAAAACATAATCTATTCATTTCTCAAAGTTGAATGTTTCAACTCATTTTTCTTTTAAGGTTCCTGCGGTTGTCGAGTGTTTTTCATCTCGAGTTGAAACAAAAATTTCGGGCAATTATTTCTAGTACAATGCAAGTCCAATTATTAAGCTCTCATTTTGATAGGAGGGGCAATGGATGGAACATAGCCACAGTTGAAATATTAACATTTTCTTGTCCTTATTTACCAGCATGGTTTGGAGTTGTTTATAATAGGTTTAAATAATAAATAGATATAAATGAGTGATAGATAAATGATAGGTCATATTAGTCATACAAAATATTTAGATAAAAAGTAATTTGATCAATTATAAGCAAATTGTAAACAAGCATTGAACTCATTTTAAATTTTCTTTATAAATATATTAAACTGGAAAACCATAAAATAAAATGAAAATAAAAATAAAATCTGAAGCAACTCAAGCAAGTTCGCAATGAAGACCATATTCATGGTTCTGCCCTATTTGAGATAGATAATGTAAAGCGTAATAATTTGCCCTTTTATGCATTTGTTGGTTCATGATTGGTGATTACACCTATAAAATTAAAAGTAATGCTACTTGCAGTCGTTCACCGCAGCAGTCGTCCTATGTGGCACACACATGACATGTAGTTATTTGATACATTAATGTGGTAGTTTTTAACCACATTTAATGCATCAAATACACACTTGACATGTGTGTGTCACATAGGGCGACTGCTGCAGTGAGCGACTGCAAGTAGCATTATTCTAAAATTAATCTCGGGGAAGAGTTAATTGTATTGGAGGTCACTGAACTTTCGTCTCACCTACAAGTAGATCACTAAACTTTAATTGCTAGCAATTGATCCTCAAACTTCTGTTTAACAACAATTGGATCACTCTATTATGGACCAAATATGTAACAAAAATTGATGAGTAGACGTTAAAAGCTTAAGGACGGATGACATTGACTTTCACGTGGACTATCCCAAAATGTCAAACCAAATTAAAAGGGACAATTTCTTTTAAATGATTGATCATTGACTCTTCTTCCTCATCCATCTACTAATTTGCAATGAACTTTTAATCAATCTCAACACTGAATCTTCCCATGAACGGTTATAAATATTTTGTTATTGACAACGGAATAATACATAACAGAAATCTTTTCATTTCAAAACTTATCTTAAATAATATGAAGATCGAGGCACTTCATGACCTCTTTTCTGGTTGGTTCGACAACCACATACCTATCAGATATGGAAGGAGTACCTATGTATGGAGGAATTTGTAGGGAAAGAAAATTGATGAACCCTGAACCAATTAATTGGCCTGCCAAGCTTTCACAAAAAAGAATTGAACCGTTATCGATGCAGGTCCTCTAATTTTGAAGGTTTGATGCGAACTTCATAAATTAAGCCTCCCAAGTAGGACTTGGGCAAAAATTATGAGATGACAACGCGGCACTTTGAGAATTTCACCGTCACAACTCATGGACCTGAAATCAAAATTTAACAATCACCACAACAACCAATTAGGTTCGGAGTTATTTTTAAATTAAATGTGAAATAAAAATAAGCGTGAAGATAAATTTAGCAGAAACCACGACAACCAATTAGAAAAATTAAGAATAACCATGCTATTTGTATACCGGGGTACGGATCTTCTCACAAGAGAGGGGGCCCACGATTTTTTTATTGGTCGTGGGCCCCCTCTCTTGTGAGGGGTCTGTACACGGGGGTGTCAACCCCAATGTACAGATAGCAATTTCCAATTAAGAAATCACGACAACCAAATGGTAAATGCCTAAATCATTAATTACAGGAATCCCTAAAAGCTCGATTTATTATAACCCGTTTTGCTGAATAAATGGATGATCAATAGAAATAGCAGGATTGTAATTCAGGCCATGTTTGGTACACATTATTTTTTTCATTCTCATTTTTCTACTCATTTTCAACCACGCATTCTTCAATAAAATAATATTTATCATCACATCAATAACTTTTCCTTCATTTTTAACCAAACATTCTCCATCAATCTACTATTCAATAATATATTTTTTCAAAAGAATGTGTCCCGAACACACTCTGATTTTTAGTAGCAAATCAGCTTAGATATGCCTATCATTCTGTTTTGCGGAAAGAATACACAGCAAGAACTTTTAACACTGGGCATTCAAATAGCGAGGGATAAAACAACAAAGTGCCAAAAAAGAAGACCAGAACTATAAAAAGTCTTTCTCAGATTTCAATTTACATAGAAAAGCTTCAACTCCTCATCAAAAAATTGCTCAATTAAGCTGGTTACATCAATGATCGTCTCCTTCCCTGATATTTTTCAACTTCTTCTAGCCTTTTTATTCTTCCTATTTGGAAACCTACTCATCTTCTTCAAGGCAGACGGGTGGGTAAGTGGTACCCTGCGTTTCGAGTACTACTCGCACGCACGCATAGACGACAGACGGATCAATCATGCTACATGTACATTTTCTTTTACATCATTTTTGACATTGTGCTGCACATGATTGAACAGTTTTAAAAAAGCACGCACTCTAAGCTAATTATGAAGGGTTTTGTTAAATATTTGAGAAGAATGCCAAGATTTCGAATCTCATTGTTAATCCATTTTAATATAATTAAATATTCCTAAATTAATGCAAAATCTCTCGATATCAATTAAATCTATCCATTCACGTGATCTTCCTATATCTTTATGAAATATGCGAATATGAAAACATGCATTAAAAACGCTAGAATATCTATAAAAATCATGCAAATCATAGCGTTATATCTTTATTCCTTATCGGACTTTACAATGATTGTAAATTGATTTGTAATAATATTTTGATCATATTTCATTCATGTTCTACTTCTACTTCTAATTCCATCCAATTGTCTTCTATAATCAACTATTGGATATTTGCATTTTGATCCTCAAACTGTTAACTTCGTCACTTTTCACTATTTTTCGCTTCTTTCCTTTAATTCCAATTCCAATTATCGAGTTTTATCTAATAAATGAAATATATAATAAATTATGCTATAATTGTTGAAAAGAACTATTGAATATCTATATTTTTATGTCCAAATAAGTGTATAAATTAGGCTTGATGGCAAAAATTGAATTGAGGCCACTGAAATGTTGAATCTATGTACAAACAATGGATATGTAATTTTCTTCTAGAGTGTTAGGTATAGATTTTTGGACCTTGCTAGATGAACATGGCCTACGTGCCACTGTTCAAACAGTTTAATCCTAAATTTTTATAGATTAAATGCACTAGTTTCTAGAAAATGTGTGGTTAAAAACATGGATGGATCTTTAGTGGATCAGTGGGGTCACTTGCTCCCACACTAATTTTTAAATTCAAATTTTCGCACAACATTTTCCAAAATGATTTTGAAAATTTTCTTAATAGTTTTTAGTTTTACTCCCACAAGTAAAATTTTGTAAAATTTGCCCCCAACAACTTTAAAATTCTAACTCCGCCCTAAATGAAAATGGATAAAAATTGTCAATCCCGGAAAATATTTCTTTTGTTTGTAATTAATTTGGTGATGAAGTAGCAATTAACTTCACTTGGAAGTCCATGTTATTCACCGTTAGCTTTGACGTCCACATTATCAACTTCGATTACGTATTCTAACGTCTCCCAAACAAAATGACCTAATTGCCATTAAATTAAAATTCAATAACCTAATTTCTATCAATTGAAGTTCGATAACCTACTTGCAAGTGTGGTGAAAATTCTGTGACATCAGCAACAATTAACCGTCCCGTTGATCGCGTTTTCCATTCCGTGGGGAAAAGGAAATTGGCCTGCTCAAAAGCCAACAGATGAAGATTAAAAAAAAAAAAAAAAGGAAAAGAAAAGAAAAGAAAAGAAAAAAGAGAAGAAAAAGGTAAGAGTCCATCAACACTGGTCCTGGTTAGGAGTACCAGATACCTTCTATCATCCTATAAAGTCGTGGGTGACATCACTTTCTTGGTAAAAGATAACGACTAAAAATTAATATTTATTTTTGAATGTGATAACTCGTTGGATTATCATTTTACGTATATAAGTGCCAGCACTTATCGATAGGTTATGCTGACTATGACCCGCCTTTTTTAATATTAATAAACTAATAGAATGTGAAGACCGACTCGCGGCCGAAAACGTGGCATGGCATCTGAATCCCACGTACGAAATGGAGACGTGTAAACCTGGACACGTGAGGTCCAAAAGCATCTTTTTTACACGCTCTTGGAAGAGCGTGAAACATAACCATTACATTTCCTACGCTTATTTCCCTGCTTTGAAACTCACACACTCGTCCTCTTTTCTATCTCACACACTGTTCTCCGTATGACCGTATCTCGCTTCACACTCTAACCACTTACATATATAAATATATACATATATATATATATAAAGAGAGAGGAGAGAGAGAGAGAGGGAGAGTAATTGTAGGGAAAAAACAAGTCCCCGAAAACTTAAAAAACTTTCCGATCTGTACTTTCTTTTCCATCACCAAATTTCTAGGTATAATAATATGTATGTATGTTTGTCTGTATTTATATAGACGACTGGTGGTTAATTGTGTTGTCTTGTTGGGTTTTGCCTTTTGGGCGTGATTTGTAATGGGTTTATGAATTTGATGTGTTTTTTTCTTGGATTTTGAAGTGGGATTTTACTGGATCTGAGGAATTTGGAGAACTTTGGATGTAAAAAGATGTCTTCTTTAAGCAGAGAGCTGGCTTTCTTAATTCTTCAGTTTTTGGATGAAGAGAAATTCAAAGAAACAGTTCACAAGTAAGCCATTTTTGTTTTCCCTTATAATTTTTTATGGGCTTTGGATTTTTTTAGTAATTTTGTTGTTGACTGTTTTGGGATTTGGAAAATGAATGGAGTTTGGAAAAGGAATCGGGATTTTTCTTCAACATGAGGTACTTTGAGGATGCTGTGACCAATGGTGAATGGGACGACGTGGAAAAATATTTATCAGGGTTTACAAAGGTTGATGATAACCGTTACTCCATGAAAATTTTCTTTGAGATCCGGAAACAGAAGTATCTTGAAGCTCTTGACAAGTAAAGCTCTAAATTTCATTCATTTCTGTAATTTAAGAAAATAATGATGATGATATATAGTACTCCATGGTTGTATTGTTTTGTAATTTTGTGCCTCTATTAAATTCATTTCTGTCAATTGTAGGCGCGATAATGCAAAGGCTGTGGAGATACTTACAAAGGATTTGAAAGTGTTTTCGAGTTTTAATGAAGACCTCTTTAAGGAAATAACTATGCTCCTAACCTTGCAGAATTTTAGGTAATGTGCATTGATCGAAAGTGTGATTGCAATTGTCATTGAAGTTTGTATTGTGATAGATTTTGTTCTACTTATTTTTTAATTGAGTTCATAGTGAGATGATTTCCTAAAAAATTATTAGCAACAGAGAAAAAATTGTTGTCTGGATTTATATTTAGGTTGCACAATGTTAATTTCACACTCAACATGGAGCAGAAATCGTATAGTAATGGCGTTTCGTGGGATGGAGTGGGAGATTTAGGACAACCACTTATGTCCAGAGATATTTATGGGAGGTGGATGCATTTATGGGTTATAAATTATGGAATTAATTGGAGAAACACTAGCTCGAGTAACCACATCATCTACTCATTTTGCTTGTTGACATTTACTTCACTTTTCTGTGTATGATTTTGAAATAACTGCATTTGATTTTTTGTTCTCCTAGTTTTACACAGTAATTAAGTTTTTGGAAAGCACTGGAACAAGAAAAGTGTATTAATTTTTTGACACTAAATGAACATTAAAGTGAAGATGAGGACAGATAGAATTATGAAATACAATTTCCAAATCTTGCTATATGCTGTTTTTAATCACATAAGCTCATTCAAAACTTTCAAGACCCTAGTTATTGAAGATAATTTCCATGTGTAACTTCACCACTACAAAATTTCACATTTTCTACTTGTTGGTAATAGAGGATTTGGGCTTTTATGCTTTCTTTTAAAAACAAAATGAGATTACACTAGGCTCATGTTTAAGGTGATGGGAAATAATTGTGCGAAAAATTCATGACCTAGTGGCAAAGGTTTTTCTCTGCATCTGGCTCCAATTTGTGAATTTTATCTGGTTTTTGGTACTGTTTCTCTCTATACCTGCTAATCTCACTCGCATTTTGCTGCAAAATTTCTGAAACCAGGGAGAATGATCAGCTTTCCAAGTATGGTGATACCAAGTCAGCTAGGGGTACAATGCTCGTTGAGCTAAAAAAGCTGATTGAGGCAAATCCGCTCTTTCGTGATAAACTTCAGTTCCCCAACTTAAAAAACTCAAGACTGCGGACGCTAATAAACCAAAGGTAATTTGAGCAGCAAAAGACAAGTAATACAGCTCTTCCATGATTTGGTTAATATGCGAATGAAATTATTACCTGTTTGTCGAGTTGCAGTTTGAATTGGCAGCATCAGCTCTGTAAGAATCCAAAGCCTAATCCTGATATAAAAACCCTATTTGTTGACCATTCTTGCGGACAACCGAATGGTGCCCGAGCACCATCCCCGGTCAATAATCCGCTGATGGGTTCCATGCCTAAAGTTGGGGGATTCCTACCTATGGGTGGTCCTGGCGTAAGTTTGTGTGAATACATTTCTCCCTTGTTTTTTGTCAGTGGATAACATCTATTGATTGTTGGAATATTTTTCTTCCTATTAACAGCCATTCCAACACGCCCCAGCCCCTATGACAGCATCACTTGGAGGCTGGATGGCCAATCCATCCTCTGTACCTCACCAAGCTGTTTCTGTTGGGCCTATGGGCTTAATTCCTCCTAGCAATGCTGGTAATATGTTTAATCCTTTACATGACTATTTCATGTTCTCTACATCATTATGTTGACGTTCAATTATTATGTGTGTGTTTGTATTAAATTATATCCTCCTTATAATTTGAAGTCAAAGTCAAACATTAATTTTAGATACACATTCACAACCACTACTTACTTATTATCTACACATTTTGTCGGACCCATTACTCTTTATTATAATATCATTATAATTTCTCCCAAACAAGCACTATGAGTTGCAAAAGAATTTTAGTTGGATTATTATGGAGTTATGGTGAAATTGCTTAATGTAAGACAGATTTTACTTATCTATTGTAACCAGTAAAATGCATTTTCTCTTTCGTTTTAACCAATTTTTTAAAGATAATTCTCTTTTTTGCTTTTGTATCTTATATATGGCATATAGCATCTATGCAAAAGCGTCCTAGGACTCCTCCTACTAATAATCCAGCACTGGACTATCAAACTGCTGATTCTGAACACACGCTGAAGAGATCTAGACCTTTTGGAGCATCAGAGGAGGTATAACATATGCATTCAAGCCTGTTCCCTTTTTGGGTCTTGCCACATCTTTTGACATCTATAATAACTTGCTGTTTATTGTTGTAATTGGGTTCCTCTAGAGTTAATTTATAAATTGGTTGGTGTTTTTTTTTGGGATTGCCCTGGTTGTTCAATTTTAACTCTTAAGTACATACCAATCCATTCAGTTTTAGATTTCTGATTCATTCTATTTTGTTGGCCCCTATATTTTAATTCCTGATTTTATGGACAATTCATGTACAGGTTAACAATCTCGCTGTGAACATATTGCCTGTCACATATCCTGGACAAAGTCATTCCCGTTCCTCGTATTCTGCTGAGGACTTACCCAAGAATGTTTTTGCACACCTGAATCAGGGTTCTTCTGTAAAGAGCATGGATTTCCACCCAGCATATCAAACTCTGCTCCTTGGTTTGCTACTACTGTCCATAGAATTGTTTCGCTTTTAGTTCACACTCTGATCAATTGGAAGAAGGCTGAAGATTTCTTCTGTTACTTGTTGCTATGTCTATTTTATTTTAAAAAAAAAGGGTTTTGGTGTGAGTGTGAAAAGTATATCCATCTGTGTGTGTTTGGATCTATTATTCATATTGATAGATGATATTCCATATATAGAAGCATATGCACATGCACATTGTGCATATAAAATTATTCATGCGGCTTTGTATAATTTCAGTGGGTACCAATATTGGCGATGTTGCTATATGGGAAGTGGCGAGTAGAGAGAGGCTTGCTTTTAGAAATTTTAAGGTTTGGGATCTTGGAGGATGCACAATGGCTCTGCAGGTTTTGTTCATAGAGCCTTTTGTTGCTTTCTCTTCGTTCAGCTTTCACTGTTGATGAGATCAATTTTCTGCCTTTTGCATGTAGGCTTCTTTGGCTAGCGAATATACTGCATCAGTTAACCGTGTAATGTGGAGCCCTGATGGAACCCTTTTTGGTATGTACTGCTAGGTTTTTTATGCTTATTCATCTTATACCTCGTATCTCAACCACAGCCTGCAAAGAATTGAAAACATAAAAAAATCCTAAATCATACGGAGTTAAAGTAATCGGCGGCATTAGCCTTATGTCAAATCTCTGCATTAATTACTTTTTCATCAGTAAAGCAGACAGATAACCCTTCCTTGATGGAAAGACAAGTGTATACTGGATAGGAATAATTTATTGAGGGATTAGTTTGGGGAACTGGATTTGAACTCTGGATTGTAATTTCAGAATCCGAAAATCTTGGATTTGAGAAAAATAGGTAATACCAGTCAAAGTTATTTTCCTTTCTTATTCTTTTTAAAGGATGAAGGCAGATTGCTATATAATTTAGATTTTTCCTTAATTAGATTTAACTTTTAAGTAAATTGAAAGCTTTTGATCACAATTTGTAGTTTAGGATTTGGACAAATTGGATATTCTTTTATCATAACAAGTTACATCACCATCCAACCAGAGTTCTGAGATGCAATGATATCCTAAATCCATATTTCATTCCCAAATCCTAGGCCCTTATTGAGGAGCATAATTATTTACCAATTTTATTGACATTAACGTTCTGTGTACTAGAGCTTTAATTGCAATATTTTCATTTATGAAAGAGGATGAGTCGATTGAAAGGCTCTGATGGCATATGAGTCCTGGTTATCAGTTATAATTGCTTTTACTCTGATCCAGGTGTGGCATATTCGAAGCACATTGTTCACATATATGCTTATCATGGCAGTGATGATTTAAGGAATCACCTTGAGGTTTGTAATTGAAGTTCAGGAATCTGTTTTTGTATTATGATAATTTGTTTTGTGTTCTAAGCTGTCTGTCCTTCCTGTAAATATGAATGGAGATGCCCATGTTGGTAATGGAATTTCAGGAATCTGTTTTGTATGACGGTTGAATTTGCCTGACTAATTGTTTCAGATTGATGCCCATGTTGGTAATGTCAGCGATCTTGCTTTCTCTAATCCTAACAAGCAGTTGTGCATCATAACTTGTGGAGAGGATAAGGCAATTAAGGTTTGTATTCTTTAATAAATCATAGTACGACGAGAATTTGATGCATGCTTAGCACTTTACAATGTTTATCCATACAGGTGTGGGATGCAGCTTCTGGTGCTAAGCAGTACACTTTTGAGGGTCATGAAGCACCTGTTTATTCTTTATGCCCCCATCATAAGGAAAACATTCAGGTATTTTCTCCCACACGCTTTCTAAGAATTATGAATTGTTGAATTGCCAGAATTAAGAAAGACGATGGCAGAACGGATTTACGTTTTGTGGGCTTTGTCTGACCATAATTCAAGTGTCAAATTTGTCAAAACTAAGTTTTGTTTTGTTTTATATATATATATATTTTTTTTTGGGTGTGGTGGGGTTTGGGGAGTGTTGTGAATTTCTATTTTTCTTTTTACTCTGGTTAAAGCTAATTGTTTACATGCAATGGGTTTACTTTTGCACACCTCTCTTTCTGCCAACCTGGATGGTGACTTAATAAATGGCTATGATGGAGAAAGATATATTATATAGAAAACTTTCCAATTTAGATATTTTAGGAAAAAGTAATTAGGGTTTATTTAATAGATTTCTAGTATTTTATTAGTGGTTTCCTTTTTAAAGTTGATTAGCTTAAACCCTGTATAAAGGGGCATATTCATTGTAATAGTTAGACTTACTTGATTATTGAATATATTCAGAATTCTCTCTCAAATTCTTCTTCTTCTTCAAATCTCGTTCTTGTTCAATTGCATGGGAACAGAGATATCCTAATTGATGAGATTCAACCATTACAATATTTAAACTGTAGAATGATTTCAAATGGAACAAAAAAAGAAAAAAGAACAAAGGAAACATAAATTGTGCTCCCTCAGATCTTGAATTTTCAAAAGGGATCGATGTCATCCCTTTATTATGCTTGCCCCATAACTTTTTCGTCCAACTGTTGCAGTTCATCTTTTCAACTGCTATTGACGGGAAGATTAAGGCATGGTTATATGATAATATGGGGTCAAGGGTTGATTATGATGCTCCAGGTCACTCTTGTACTACCATGGCCTACAGTGCTGATGGGACAAGGTAAAAACATAGTCTTTGCCATTTCTACTTGTGGCGTAGGTTTACTCAATTGTGCAATTACATTTATGTATATTTTTTATTTCTCAATTTCTTGGATATATGGCAGGCTATTTTCTTGTGGTACTAGTAAAGATGGCGAATCACACATTGTGGAGTGGAATGAGAGTGAAGGGGCAGTCAAGCGGACATACCTTGGTCTTGGGAAACGGTCTGTAGGAGTGGTTCAATTCGATACAACAAAGAATCGGTTCTTGGTCGCTGGTGATGATTTTGTAATAAAATATTGGGATATGGATAATGTAAACCTCTTGACTGTTACTGATGCTGAGGGTAGTTTACCGGTAACTGCAAAGTTGGATCTCTTTTAAATTAACTGGCTATTTTTGGGAGAGAGGATTTGATTAAATTCTCATTTTATTAATAATTTTTCAGGCTTCGCCTTGCATTAGGTTTAATAAGGAAGGGTTGCTATTGGCTGTATCAACTAGTGACAATGGTGTTAAAATACTTGCAAATGCCGAAGGTGTTCGGCTTATGCGCTCTATTGAAAATCGTGCATCTGGATCTGTTGTGAAGGTATAGTAATCTAGGTATGCTTATTCTGAGTTTGACATTAGAATGTTCATTATGCTCATTATTGTTAAGCAGAGGCCTATGATCAATGCATTTGGTGCTTCTAGTTCAGCTGCTGTGACAAGCAGAGATATGATTGCTCTGGTGAGCACTGATAGCTAATTCAGTTTTATGAGAAAAGCTGAGTTATTGTAGATAATTGTTTCACGCTGTTATGCATAATGAATTTTTTACTGCTCATATTCCCAACAATTGTTTTGTTTGACCACTAACTTAATGATTTTTTGCAGAATGGTGATAGAAGTTTGCCAGATGTAAAACCTAGAATTTCTGATGAGCTGGAAAAATCTAGAATTTGGAAGCTGACTGAAATTGACGAACCATCTCAGCTTCGTTCCCTGAGGCTTCCTGATAGTTTACTGTCAGTGAGGGTATGAATTTTCCGAAAAACCAGCCTGGCTCAATCTCACCATGTTAACCATTTTTCTTATATTTGTGCTTATCCACATTGGCAAGTCTCTGTTCATTTACAGTCCGTCCTTCCATCACGACCTTGTTAATTTAGATAATTTAGGGATGTATCGTGTTCTCATGTCATTTGTCTGGTGGAGAAAAGATACACCATGTGGTTTTGGGAGAGGTCAATTTCTGTAAGTTTAGACTCTTGGAAATGATTTTCTGATTTAGTAGTATAAATCTGGACGTATTAGAATATATAGAAAAAAAAAGTGATCATGTTCGAATAACCTTGGGGGGCTGAGATGAGCCTTTTCCAGTAGTTCATATAGGCACCTCGTATTTTGGGATATGATCTGGAGAAACTTTTGTGTTGATGAATCTTTAAAGTCATTCCATAAATTTTAAGGCCACACTCATAATTTGTACACAATATATTATACCATTTGTAATTCCATCTACATGTATTTCTTCAGAGAAATTGAAACTACCTTTGGCACCTCACATTGTGGACGGTTATCTGATTGGCCAGGAGATTCTTCACGTCTTTTTTAATCTACAGCTGGAGTGAGAAGTTAATTTAAATCGATACCAAGAACTAAAATTTTGGAGGCAGGTCTACAGCATTTAAAGTGATTTTCCCTGATCTCAAATGTTGTCCTGATTTTTACCCTCTCAGTAATTGGATCAATACGAAATTCTTTCCAGAAACTTTGAAACTAACATGGATAACTAAATTGTGGAAGCAGGGTCAGAGCTAGCATTGTATTTCAATGGTGTCTTTTTTGAATACGTTACTGTTGTTTCCTATGATTTTTTTGTACTCCAAATAGATGATGTTAGATAATATAAATTGAATGTAGTTAAGGCATGAAATAGAACTTTAACTGTTGTGTCTAATAATTACAAAGGAAATGCCCCATTTATATGGTTACAATTAACTAAAAAGTAAAAGATTCTAATCAAACAACTAAGGAAATATTCTAAGAGAATCCGGAAAATCTCACAGAGAATACCTTGATGACCTTCAGATATATCTTTAACAGGTGCCTGGACAGCTCGTGAAGTAATACATTAATGGCATGTTTGAAATATGTAATTAAATAGGAATAATGAAAAGATAATAAAGTAAAAAATCTTATTTGTACTGTCCAGTACAGTTAAAACCTATCCATGCTGTTCACTTTGTCTACCATGCCCTAGATTTGGATGATTAATCCTTTAGATGCTAATAGCAACATTATTGTAAGTGTCAAAATATCTCGTTAGCAAAGTCTAAAGCATTAATCTACCGAAAATTTATTTTCAGAGCACAATTTAAGATATAGCATGAAGTTAACTAGATTTCATCATTAATTTGTTCCGATGCAGGTACATAGAGATACATGTCATCTGTCAAATATATGTGCTTCTTTGTCAAACGATAACACATTAATTCTGTTAATAGAAATAAAAATTTCTATGTATGATACTCAATAATTTTTCAAATAACCCGATGAGGAAAGTTGACCGCATTGCCCTCATGCTGGCTCCACCAGCGAGTGGAGGCCTATTGTTTATAGCCAAGAGCTCTTCAAAAATCATCTAGTAATGATATCCAAAGCTGTATTAGTCTTCAATTTTCTAAAATTCTATAAAATATTTATTATTTACATGCTATTGAAAATTTTGTTGTATGAAGTTATAAAAGCTTGTGTAACTATATGTTTCACGATCATGGCCCACCTGATTAAGCCCCAGGCCCCTTCATGGTCCATACCGGCTTAGGCTTGCATCTCACCCTTTACGTACTGTCCACTAGGAATTGGACCCAAACGTTGTATTCTTTCGTGTCCCCAGTGATTTGAACTTAAGAACTTCCTTAAGAGGTACTTGAATGTTGGTACCAACTGGGGCTGAATCCAGTGGGCCATGGTCAGGGGACTCATTGTTACGGCTTGTTTCTTATTCTTCAAAAAAGAGAAGTTTTATGTGGTTATCCAATAGCTGACGCTAACTACTTCCTACTGTATTTGATTTTATAAATTGATCAGAAATTTTAAGGAAATGGCAATATTTCTTCCCCTGTTTTTTACTTCATGAATTAAACTTTGTTTTTAAAAAAAAAAATTATATCATATAAAATCATGTTGATTGTATGCTATAATTAAGATGAAGGTTGGTACTTATGAATACTAGTTTGTCTGTAGATGCTCGTCTGTATATAGACTAGTGTTACCTGTATATGTTTGCAGTTATGTCTGGAAATTTTTGAGGTTTAGTCTATATTAATGTGCATTTACTCACCTTCATTGTTTCTGTTTTCATTTTAGATTATGAGGTTGATTTATACAAATTCTGGAGGTGCCATATTAGCTTTAGCATATAATGCTGTCCACAAACTCTGGAAATGGCAAAAGAATGAGAGAAATGTTACTGGAAAGGTTTGAAACTTATCTTTGACGTCTTAATTTCAAAGGATTTCTCCTTGACCTTCCTTTTCCGTATTTGGAGCACGATCGCTAATCTTAGGAAAAGGAAAAAAGTTACTTTTGTTTCAAAAAGTGTTTGGATACTCAACTTTTTTATTGCTTTTAAGTTAAAAATGTTAAATAGTTTTTAAAGCAACTCTTATCCACCGTCAAAATAAGTAACTCATTGACATCTACAACCCATAAATATTATTTATACTAAAACTAACTTGTTTACTTCTAAGTGAACTTTATTCTTTGCCATACAAGTCTAATTAATTCTTTGCTTATGTAGGCAACCACTGCTGTGCCCCCTCAACTATGGCAACCTTCTAGTGGAATATTAATGACCAATGACATATCTGAGACGAACCTTGAGGAAGCTGTTCCATGCTTTGCACTCTCAAAGAATGACTCTTACGTTATGTCAGCATCAGGAGGAAAAATTTCCCTATTTAATATGATGACATTCAAGGTAATTAAACTATTTTGATTGCAATAGACATTTTTCTTCATTGGTTTTCTGGTTTATGTTTGCCCTTCTGTATATATCTGACATGTTTCATAAAGTGGATTAGATAACATCGGACAATATTAAAAAAGGAAAAAAACTAAAATTTCGTTCTTAATACTGTCTATTACAGTCTATTACAACATACTAAACATGCATATAGATTCTTATATCGTTTTCCCTTCACAGACAATGACTACGTTTATGCCCCCTCCACCGGCGGCGACATTTCTTGCCTTCCATCCTCAGGACAATAATGTCATTGCCATTGGCATGGAAGATTCGTCCATACAAATTTACAATGTCCGAGTTGATGAGGTTCTTACCAGAACAAAAGCTGGCACATTATTCTTATGATGATTTAATGCTCATATGCTTTTTTTTTTTTGTGTTCTAAAGGTAAAAATCAAGCTCAAAGGTCACCAGAAAAGAGTAACTGGCCTTGCATTTTCCAATGTTTTAAATGTTCTCGTGTCATCTGGAGCTGATGCTCAGGTAAGTTCAACTACATATATAAAGAGGAAAACATGATGCTTTAAATGTTCTGTACATGTGTCTTGAAAGATGGGGGGTGGGGGGTGGAACAAAGTTGATATTTTTTACTACTGAAATGGATTAGTGAAATATGCTTCCATCTTTCTCTATCAAGTAAAGGAATTTAGGGGACATAGTAACCTTTTAAAAAATTTATTTAGCATTTATAACTTGAGAGAATGAGCATAAAACTTGTGTAATCTAACCTTTGCTGTCAAAATGAATAAATGTGTCTCTCTGACAAGTGATATTATCTGTTTACGAAAGTGAAGACATGGGAATTCAATTTTCCTTTCTGCACCATGATATTTACGGAATTAAATATAATACACAATAACGTTTAGTTACTTTCTGACTTTTGTATTCTAGCTATGTCTTTGGAGCGTAGATGGTTGGGAAATGAAGGCGAGTAAGTTCTTGCAGATTCCTCCCGGTTGTGCACCAAAGCCTCTTGCACATACACGGGTTCAGTTTCATCAGGACCAGGTTCATGTGTTGGTTGTTCATGAAACGCAATTAGCTATCTATGAGGCTTCAAAACTCGACAGTGTCAAACAGGTGCTAAGCTTCTGCTTTCTAGACTCTTTTATTGGCACTAGAATTTATTATTTTACATCGATACATTTGATGGTTGTCAAGATCCTTATTATGTGGTTTGCTTATTGCATACTTGAAACAGTATAGAAGCGTGAAAATGAACAGGTTATTTTTGTTGATAGAATTGAATTTGTCATGAACCGTATAAATTTTTCTGTTACTATAATCAACTATTGTCTTGTATAATTTTGTGTCTTCTTTTTTTTTTTTACTTCGGGATATTGCTAACTTACATTTCGAGAACCAAGAAAACGTGATTGAGAGAACAGGGCAAAGTAAAAGAAATTTCATAACTCACAAAAAGCTCCTTGTTGCAGTGGGTTCCTCGAGAATCAAGCTCTGCAATTACGGATGCTACATTTTCATGCGACAGCCAATCAGTTTATGCAAGCTTCGAAAATGGGAGCATTTGCGTCCTCACTGCTACAGGACTGAAACTAAGGTGTCGCATCAATCCTGCAGCCTATTTGCCTTCTAATCCGAGGTACATATGTTATTACCTTTGCGAAAAGAACTAATTTATATCTCCATTTCTTCTTCAAAATGGTGTCTAATTATCTAAAATACAGCTCAAGGGCATATCCACTTGTCATCGCCACTCATCCATCTGAACCTAATCAAATTGCATTAGGACTCAATGATGGTGGAGTGCACGTGTTGGAGCCCCTGGAAATGGAAGGAAAATGGGGCACTGTCCCTCCGCAAGAAAATGGTGCGGGTCTTAGCATCAGCCCTGTTGCAGCTTCTGCGGATCAATCTTCGAGATAGTAGTCCATTCTAGCTCCCTTAGTTTTTCCGAGCCGTAATCTTTAGGTGGCTTAGCATATAAGATACGCATCTTTGATAGGCCAATTTCCAGTTGGGAAGTAAGACTGAGGAAACTCCATTTTTGCTATGCGAGATAAAAGGTTAATATGTCATAGCCATAGGAGAAAGGAGAATAGGTTTAGTCCATTAGAAGGGTTTCTTTTATGGCATAAAATAACGGATCTCTTCAAGATTGCTCGTATTTTTCAAAACATTTTAAAGATGCTTCTTGTAGAGGAAATCGTGTTAATCAGTTGCCTTGACTTTGAGATGAAATGCTATCAGGGAAGGATCGCGAGCAAATTCCATGCAGTTGGAACAGTTGTACTCGTTTTGCTTGTATATGTTAGATGATTACATTTTCCTTGAAACTTTGCCATTGCTAGTTACTACTCGATTCACCTCAGAATCACTGAACTTGTTCTATAAATATAGAAGCAATTCTGTCCGTGGACAAACCCGGGCTGGTCCACCTTGGGAAGGTATTTGATGATCAAAAGCATCGTTTTAGATTAATTTTGATTCGTGTTCAATCGAACTTATTATAAATATCATAATAGGTTGAGACAATATAAATGCAAATCAAATTCGAAGAGCAAATAATAAGGTTTTTATGCAACATTTTCGACGCCGTATTTCAATTTTTTATTGTTAATTCAACTATGTCACGTCCTCAGTGGTCCTTAACTCACTCGAAAAATGACCATCCCAGGATGCCATGGGCCCCATGGTAACATGGTTGGAAAGTCTAATAACCCAAATTTTTGATAAGTGCAATAGGTACAATTTTCTTTCCAATTCTAACGCCCCTGTTCTGTTTTTCTGAAACGCAATCTGCGTGGGCGTGCGTCCATTTACGAGATCTGAAGATTTTTCGAGTTCACGCAATCCCATTCCCACGCCTATATAGTATCAAATCCCAAACCATATTAGTGCAGTTTTGTAGCTACTGTAAATCCGCTGCCGATGAACGGAGCCGCCACTACCCACCTCCGTTCCCTTCATAAATCGGCATCCATTTCAAACGGAGATAATAAACTTAAGAAATACACGGATTTTGCAGATATGAAGAAGAAATCATCAGATTCTGTTAATGGGTTGTTTGGGAATGCGTATTTCATGAAGTGGACAGCGGAGGATTTGTTGGGTGTAGTGAGGCACCATCCTATACCGTGTGTCTTCGCCGCCGCATTGCTTTTCTTCATGGGAGTAGAATACACTCTATACATGGTGCCTTCGACGGCGCCGCCGTTTGATCTGGGGTTCGTCGCCACCATATCCCTCCACCGGCTGCTTGAATCTAGGCCAGCTCTCAATACTATTCTTGCTGGCCTCAATACGGTATGAAGTATGAACGAGAATATGTGCAAACAATTCAAATCACGTCCAATACTATGTACCAAACTCGTTGTAAATTAATTTTGTTTGTTTCTTTGACAAGGTTTTTGTGGGAATGCAAACTGCGTATATACTGTGGACGTGGCTAATCGAGGGCCGGCCGAGAGCCACAATATCGGCCCTGTTCATGTTCACGTGTAGAGGAATTCTTGGATATGCCACACAGCTGCCACTACCAGAGGTTTTTATTTCGTTCTATCTTCCTTTATTCAAATGCAATTTGACAATTTTAAAGTAGTTTATCCACACCATGTGTCATCATTCTTATCTCAATAATAATAATAAAAGCTTAAACCCTGTTTGATTTGGATAAAAATTAGATTTTTTAGTAGATTTTGATAAAAATTGGTGAAACGTGTGGTTAAAAAATTGATAAAAATTGTAGGTGTGATTAAAAATGAGTTTAAGACATGAATATCGTACCATGACTAAATCTTCTTGCAATCTTGTGCATTATGTGCCATATTTCTTCTTGTGCAATTTGTCAATGTCCCGACTATTCGAAGTACTAACATAACTAAACATACAATTTATGGATATATGGTTCATTTGATATGGTGTATGCTATTTATCATCGTCATGATAAAATATCGGTGATGTAACAATCTATTATCTCTTACATTTCTCTCTCCTCCCATTTCTCTTGTAAAAATTGAACCGTCCAAGCTCATTATTCCACATAAATTATCACATCATCGATGTTCCATCATAATAATAATAAATAACATTATTTTGATAATTAATCATAAATTATCATTATATTTGTATATTCTGAAATCAAGTGCAACTCCATGTGACATCATGGTCCTACCATCATTTTGTCTCTTTTTGGTAATGGTATGAACTGTACGAAAAGAACTCTTGAAATTGCCCAATGTTACAAAATAGCCCTAATGTTATGTAGTAATGATAATTAAGTAAAGCACACCCTCGAGTTTATATTGATTCGCTCTTTGTGCATTTCTGGGGTGGAATATTAAATTGTATTGGACAGTCTAATCCAACTTACTTGCTATCAACTTGGAGTTACGTCCACTTATTATGCAGAGTCCTACATTTGGTTCACAGTTAATGCCAATAGAATACTTCTAAAAACAGAGATGCATATACTCCCGTGATTTGACTTACCTTGCCAGTTGCTCAATCTATACTCTGTGGTGGGAGTGCCAGCCAGCCTGTAGTAGGTGCAAATTGCAAAATATAGCTGGTGCATATGCAGCATCACATAAGTGGATTTCAAGATACAATGAAAACAAGAAAGAAATTTCATGAAAATGTTGATAAAATATAAGTGGTCAAAATTTTGAATTCATTATTTTGCTTGTTTCTTGACAGGGATTCTTAGGTTCCGGAGTGGATTTCCCAGTTGGAAATGTTTCATTTTTCCTGTTTTATTCCGGGCATGTTGCTGCATCGATTATTGCATCTCTAGATATGAAACGAATGCAAAGATGGGAGTTGGCTTACACATTTGACGCTCTAAATGTTTTACAAGTCGTAAGGTTGTTGAGTACAAGAGGTCACTACACGATTGACTTGGCTGTCGGCATTGGCGCGGGAATACTATTTGATTCTCTTGCCGGGAAGTATGAAGATAGAAAGAAAAGAGAAGTTTGTAATCACTAATGACACCACATATGTAGCCTTTTTGCGAAAAATAGTCTTCTCTTGGAAGGCTGAAATGTATCGTTGAATTGTTATTGAACTTTTTAGCAACATTTCATGATGGTCGCTATATTTTATTTTGTTTCAAATTAGTCATCTAACTCAAATTCTATTACAATTAGTTCTCTGTCCATATCTGTTAGTTTCACATACAAAAAAAGAGTGACATAGTAGTTTAGTTATTTGCCATCATGTATCTATTTTTAACATTGCAGTGCTTCCTCTGACGTTATGGTCCAGATAGATTGTATATAGACATGTAGTCTTAAAATTGTTGAAACATCTCGTTTAAAAGGCATATTTATCTATATCATCTAACTTCCGTTACATTCTTCGCTTGCTTCGTAAATTCAAGACTTCCAGACTCTTACATTACGCCAAACTATGTCTCATTTAAAAATAAATTTAGACCAAAATCAACATGAAATGTGGTAGATTCGTCGAGTTGAATATAGTTGTAGAAAGAGACATGGCCCTCATATCAAGAGACTTTCTGGATTCTAGATATAATTGAAAACAAGAAGAGGATTAAATGCATTAACTAATGTCCTCCTTTAATTAGTAACACATCATTTTCTCTATAAATTCCTTTGCCTGATCATAAAACTAAGTCAGATGGTTAATCTTGCCAGTAACGGCAAAGTTCGGATGTGACAGATGGGCGAGAGTGCTACTGTTACAAATGCAGTTGGAATTCAAGTGATGATTTCGAAATGAATTGGATTCTGTGAAATGATGGAAGC